TTACAAAAGTAAATAAAATAAAATGAAACTGTCGAATGATCAATAACCTAACCGTCAAATTCAAAATCAAAATTCAAAATTGCCTGTGTGTGAACCTTCCTCGTGTTCAACCAATCACGTTAAAACAGAGTATAATTATTGCTAGCAGAAGACTAGATATTTTTCAAATTTCACTTAATTTTCATGTTTATTACGTAGTCTGCCTGCAATAACCAGTCTTCTGCATGTTATATCAGTCATGCTATTCATTTGCAGTATCTATTCTCCTGCAATCAGAAACTAATCTTTTGAAAAACATAAGTAGTTTTTCGTAAAAAAGAAATAATCCCCCGCAAAAGGATAATAGTCTTTTAAAACAATAACAGTTACTTAATACGTTGAAGTGGTCTTCTGCAAGCAATATCTAGCCTTTTACTAACAGTGTCTAATCTTCCATTAGCAATTACCAGTCTTCTGCAAACAGTATCTAGTTGTATACCAGTGGTATACGTCATTTACAGATAGTATCTAGTCTTCTGCCAGCAATATGTAGTCTTCTACAACCAGTGAGTAGATGTCTAAAAATAGTAAGTAGTCTTCCGTTCTTCTCAATTTAACCACTTAAAGACCACGCCCGACATATCTCGGGACGTACTATCTTTATTTGCATGTATTTGAAAAAGAATTGGCTCTTAACCCCTTGAGTATCATGTAACTTATAGTGGATATATGCTATGTGTAGGGCAAAATCTCATTGTAACCTCATGCGTATCTAGTCTAATCTCCAATCCATTCTATTCTAATCTTCTAATGGCTGTATGTAGCCATTAGAAGACTAGCAAAATTTCTTCTGCATAGGGAAAATAGTCTTCTGGACACAGTAAGTAGTCTTTTGCATAGAGAAGACAGTATTCTGAATGCAGTAGTTTTCTGCAACCAGTATCTAGTCTTCTGCCAGTAGTATATAATCATTTGCAGGCAGTATCTAGTCTCCTGCAACCAGTAAGTAGCCATCCTAACACAGTAAATAGTCTTTTGAACACACTAACAGTAACTTAATGCAACACAGTAGATTTTTATTCAGATGACCTACGTCAATTTATCGAAAAATTCTGATAATTTTTTTGGCAAAGATTAAGACATGCCCATAACACTTATATTAGGCAGAAAGCCCCCTGACAAATGTAGTAAGATTGTTGTGAAATCGTAATATTGCAAATAAATAGAGGAAATAAGCGAATAGATATCGTATTATTCTTTAATCCCTATTTAAAATAGAAATTAACATTAAAAAAAATTGAGATATATGCGTTGAAGCACCACTTCCATGTTGATGGAACATTTCTATTGGTTTAAAAGGATTGTAATGGACATTTGATGAGATCCTTTTAAACAATTCAATAAAAATTTTAAAATCGAAATTTAAATTTATCACTATAATTATTTAACAAAATTAGAATACAATGGAAAATTTAAAGGTTGATGATAAAAGGTTAACGAAAATATCACTAAAGAAAGAGAGAGAGAGGGTAAGAGAGATGAAGGAGTAAGTTAATGCTTTTAGGTTGCTGTAAGATTTCAGTGGATAGCTAGCACGAAAAGGTTAAAGGGAAAAATCTGCACTTGTACATTTATAATGAGCTAGGAAATGGAGCGAATGAACAAAAAAAAAATGGAGCAGGAAAAATGAATTTGAATACGAAAAGGGGAATCAGATTTAAACTAAGTAATTTAGTAAATATCTAAAAATTTATGTTTTATATAAATTTTTTGTGAAATATATATTTTTTTTCAAGTTTCACAATGGAAGTTCTGCGGTGGATATAAATGAAACCCTACAGATACATCCGGGGCAGTTGCATTGCTCAGCATCGATTTTCCGTCTGCCATTTACCACCGAGTATAAGGGATGAAGCCTTTATAACTAGGACACGACTATGGAAAATGAAACGATTTTACACCAGATAAATACGAGAATTTTTATAATAATATAAATAGAAATTCGTGTAAAAATTACGATACTCTTAGAAAATCTTTTTGGCACCGCCAAACTCTATTTATAAAATAAAACGAAATGCAAAATCGCAAAATAAGTTCGCAGTTACATAAAACTAATATACACAAGTACCCTTTTTTAGAATTCAAGGAGATACAAATAAAAAGGATGAAGGAGAAAAAAAGCACTCACATGAGGCATTTTTCCTTTATATAACGTTCGAAATGAATTCACTTTTTGAACTAATTACACCTTGAACTTTTTTTATCCCCGCAAAAAAAAACGATCTAAATTGAAAAAAAAAGTCGTAGATAAAATTGTAATGAATAGATAATAAATTCTAATGAATGTTATTCGACGCGTTTCTTTAAATCGACTGACTTTGTGCCGATACCAAAATACTATTTAAAAATATACGAAATATATCGCGATTCGAAACGAAATACTCACTTAAATTTTAAAATACCTAAAAATATTTAATTATATCAACGATTTTTCAAATCGACTTTAATCTCACTTTTTTTTAATCTAAATTTAAGTTGAATAATCCTTCCAATTCATACTGATAATGATCTTTATTTATAGATAACGCAGCGAAAACAATAAATTTTTTAAAAGTTTACTCAAAAACAATTAATCAAATATTTAGCGCAAAACGTTAACTATTTATGTATAAGAAAAAAAAACAACGACAACAACTGAACTACTTGTGTTAGAAACACGCACCAATAATATTACTGTAATAAATTAAATTGTTTAATATATTTTTTTTATACAAAAAATAAAATAATAAATTTAAAAGTAAACGTAGGCAACCAAAATATCGCGCGTGTTTAATGAGTTGCATAACTTAATAAAAATATATTTTTATGTCAAAAATTGACAAATCTGTCAAATCAGGGTAATATTTACGTATTTTAAAACATATTATAATAAAAAAATAATCACATCAGATTTGAAACCCCCACGTGGATATTTTTATAAGCTATATTTGTTCGTTAGAAAGAATGAAAATGTTGAAAAGTTGTTGACGTTTTCGAGGTTAGGTTTTAATTTGAATATAACTTATTATTGAATAAGATTAAAAATTATTAAATCTTAAAAAGATTGAGATTGTTCTCATCACCAAACAAAAGAAACTGGGAAACTTAACACCACCCCATTTCTGCAACATATTTTGCAGTAAGAAATTTTTCTTGCATGTAAGGTATCTTGCACGAAGTTATTGCGGCAATATCTAGCGCTTTACGTTTGGCAACTTTTAACTGCAATATTTTAGTTGCAATCAATGTTGCCAACACATATTTTTTGAAAGATTAAGGCACACGTACCCAAACAAACCAAGAAAACACCTTATGTCGTTATATTTTACAGTTGACAACAGAAAAAGTAACTAAAAAACTAACCATACTTTCAGCGCAAGTGCAAGAAATATATGTCCAAACCTATCAGCGGCAAGTGCAAGAGACTATCAAAAAGAACGCGTCATTTGCGCATGCGTGCAAGATAAATTACCGCAATATTTCTTGCCGGCAAAAAAACTTGCGAACTGTAAAGTGGCCTTTACATAACTTGAAAAGAAGTGGCTTTAGAAGATAATCGGAATTGAAGTTTTTTCTATCATGACTTTCGAAACGTCAAACAATGTTTTAATAGGTGCGGGACATAAGCCGAATCAGAAATAGTAAACCCATCAGCATTAGTCATCATCATCTAAGAAGTACGTATCATCTCCTTCCAGCTTATTGTGAGAGAATGACTTCATTTCGTCGTATATTTCCTTTGCTATTAATTTTTGGTAACGAGTAATAACCAGAATCAAGTTAATGACCAACAATTTTCATCAGGAGAAAGCTACAAAATGATGGAAATTGTTCAAATGGTTATTGATGAACACACAAATAACACTATACATAGTTTATTGTGCGTGGTTCATTTAATTGTAATTAAAATTGTTGTACCTTTAGTTAGGCAATAAATCTTGCTGAAGGGTTCCATAAATTTCATATGTAAAATTAGTTGCCTACCTTAATAATAGTAGTAGTACTAATTACTATAAATTTTAGTAATCAATCCTTGATATCTAAATTGGATGGTGTGGATATGTTGCGTCCGTTATGAACAGTTATATGAAAATTCATTATGCCGAGAGAAAAACCAGGCAAAATTGAAAACGTAAAGGTTTTTTAATTCAATTTCCATAGATTTGCGCAATTTGCAACAGTTAACATCCAAAAAAAGGTAACAACATTTTTTCGAATAAAAACAGCATTATTACAACCTTTTTCTTTCCATTTCAAAATATTCTGTCAGATAATAACGTCAAATTTGACATTTGTGCCTAACTTCACAGTACTTTCTGCTGCATGTTCTAAAGTTTATAAATTAACCCTACAGTGAATACCTGGTGAATACGTTGGGCCTGACAGGCTTATGACTTATGTGTTTTGCTGTGACATTTTATTCACGTATTCTCTATAGGGTTAATAAAACGACCAAATTTAGTATAATGACATTTAGAATTCATTTAACGTTATGTCAAAAACTTAACGTCACAGCGACTTAACCTCACATATTGAACAAATGTACTATAATAAATTTGCGTTTAAACACGAAATGAAATGATAAAACAATAAAATATTGATTATTTTGTGTTTATAATTTGTTCATAACAATAAATTAACAATTAATAGTATAAAATTATTTAATTGAAACAAATTAATTAAAAAATAACGTTAAATTAAAAATAATATACAACCTAAATAATTTGCGTGTATAAAAAGTTGCATAACCAACAAGAGATAATTTAAAAAAAAAATTATTTTTATGTTAAAATTTCTACTTTAAAAGTAAAATCAAATTCATTATGATATTTAAAAAAAATATAATTAAAATCGTTTTAAATATCATTAATAATAAAACGTTTTAAATTTATTTAAAAGGTTAAAATTGTTTTTGACATTTTCGCATTAAAAACAACGCCTCGCTTTGGTCGTTTTGCGAAACCGTTGATACCGATCGAGCCCGAAAGGCGCGCGGCACGTCTTTCTGGCCCGTGTCAGTCTATGAATCAGAAAAGTCATGGCTACCGAGTCAGCTGGTTTTCCTGTTGTTGTTCGTCGCGGTGTCATGGATAGAAACGCAGTTCCCCGTTCGAAACGGAAACTCCAAAAACACTTACGAAGTTCCGGTCAAGCTTACATATCAAGAACGGGAAAATTAATACCTGCCAAACAAGTACCAGGTAGGGTTATGAAAATATCGTTGTGTTTATGTTTTCCGCGAACGACGTTACTATCATTATTTTTTCGGTTACCTAGGGGGAAAAAACAATTAACCCAATCCTAATGACAGTTCATTTTGACAGTTTATGTCATTAAAAAGAATTTCTAACCTTTAATAAAAACGATTTGGATTTGATGATAATTAAAATTATTATTGTTGTGGTAAATTTGAATTGTTTAATTTAAAAAAAAGTTGCGTTATCCTCAGTTTGTAAATTTACCTTACTGACCTTCCGTATGTAGGTCACTTGAATTTTTTTTATTGAGCGACTGTAGAAACGGCCTTGTTGCGGATCGCCTTGTGTGCACTTGTCGAAATCCCGATCGCGTTTCGATCGATTAAATTATTTATTTGGGGAAAAAGGAATCGATTCTGACGTTTATTCCGTTTAGGTTATGTTACGATTCTTTTGTTTTCTTTTTAATCAAACAAAGGCTATCTTGATGTGACATCAATTTTCATTTATCAATGTTTTTGTGGCCCTTTGTTAATAAATGTATAAATAATTATCTCATAGGAAATAAAAAAATTATTTATGAATGAATGATAAATAAGATTTAAAAAATTTTAATGATTATTATAGATTTTGGCGGATTGTTTTGAAGTGAGGTTATGTTACAAATTTTTTTGAGGTTATTTTAGGGATTTAATTTAATTACTTCGATTAAAGATAATCTATAAATATTTTAAAAATCAATGTTTTGATTGATAAACAAAAGTTAAATTGATGACAAATTTTTTTAAACAAAAAAATTCTTATACGTGACAAATTTTGTGTAATAATGTTGATGACGGGGCGCGTTGCTTGTTGCGAAAGGTTTTTCCGAGAATTACCGCCACGTTTTATAGATACGGCCCTTATCTTATAACCGCAGATAGAATTTCCTTTTTATAAGCACCACAAAAATTGTTTGAAACAAAAAATCTAATAGATTGCGATGCAACTTGAATTCATAAGAAAAAATATAAATGTATCGCAATTTGTTTATATAAATGTACATTTTTGTTACGCCAAATGGCCCAAAGCAGAGGCGAATGACGAAACCAACTACGTCGACACGTGACCGATTGAAGGACGACACCATTCTTTTATATTTTATTTTCAATCATTTTGGTTTTTCCATTTCAAAAAAAAATAAACGTGCAAATCAAATTTTTGTTAATATTTTTTTACAAATAAATTCGTTACTTTAAACGTTGATTAATTTAATTTAATGATGATTAATATAACAATAAAAAAATTAATCATGTTTAGTTTATAAGGGTGATTATTGATTCAAAGCCAAAAATAACCTCCCCTAATTTTGTAAAAAGGAAAATGTGGAATGACGGGGTGAGACTTCGATGTACTATAATAAACGGTTGAGTTATTACTTAATGATTAAACGGAAATTTGTCATTTTATAGGTAATAATTATTATTGAGTGGTCTACCATAAAATTGACATAGTAATGTGTTAATTCTTTCTTAATATCCGTTTAAATTGGGTAAGGTGTTATAAAACTTAATTTTATTCAATTTTAAAAGATTGTTTTCATTAACTTAATAATTTTGTGGTTCATGTTATCAATTCGATTTTTGACGTTGTAGTCTGAAGATGACGCATAGTTTTGACTCTAAATAAGTAAATATTTGTGTTTTAATAACAATTATCCTAATTAAACATTGATTTTCAAAACAATAATCATAATAAAATTACTAACTATATTAATTTTTCAAAATTTTTATTAAAACCAACTTAGAGAAAGTAAAAAGACGTTTTAAATGAATCCAAACACGAATATCTTATCATAAAACCTGTCAAAGTGACATAAAACACAAATGATCCTCCGCCATTTTGAAATTATGTCAAAAAGATAATTTAGATAAAAAAAATTAAAATTTTTGTTAACACAACCTTATAGAAAATGAAAAATCCTTTAAAATGAGCCAAAACACGATTAACTTAACGTAAAAACTGTCAACGTAAATTTTAATTCGCCATTTTGAAATTATGTAAAAAGATGACAACCTTAAAAACGAAAAAATCCAATTTGCATTGATGCCAACTTGTAGAAAATGAAAAATGCTTTAAAATGAACCCAAACACGGCAATTTTATCTTAAAAACTGCCAAAATGAATTAAAATGGAATCCATATTCCGCCATTTTGAATTTAAACGTATCTCGATTGTTTATTTATTTTTGAAGATAAAGTAGTCGTGTTTGGATTTATTTTAAAGGATTTTTAATCGTGATTAAGAATCTTCATCTGCCCTTTTGAAATTATTATAAAAAGTTAGTTCCCATATTAATTTTTTTTTATTATTATTAAAACCAACTTATAGAAAAGAAAAGAGGCTTTAAATGAGTCCAAACAAGAATATCTTATCTTAAAAACTGTCAATGTGACATAAAACACAAATAATCCTCCGCCATTTTGAAATTATGTAAAAAAGATGGCTTCCTTAAAAATGAAAAAAATCCAATTTTTATTGATGCCAACTTGTAGAAAATAAAAAATCCTTTAAAATGAGCCCAAACACGGCAATTTTATCTTAAAAACTGCCAAAATGAAATAAAATGGAATTGATATTCCGCCATTTTGAATTTAAACGTATCTCGATTGTTTATTTATTGTTGAAGATAAACTAGTCGTGTTTGGACTTATTTTAAAGGGATTTTAATCGTGATTAAGAATTTTCATCTGCCATTTTGAAATTATCATAAAAAGTTACTAACTAGGTATATTAATTTTTTTGAAATTATTATTAAAACCAGCTTATAGAAAGCGAAAAGATGCTTTAAATGAGTCCAAACACGAATATCTTATCATAAAAACTGTCATAGTGACATAAAACACAAATAATCCTCCGCCATTTTGATATTATGTCAAAAAGTTAATTTAGATTAAAAAAAATTGCAATTTGTATTAACATTATCTTATAGAAAATGAAAAATCCTTTAAGATGAGCCCAACCAAACAGGATTAAGTTATCGTAAAAACCATCAACGTAAATTTTAATTCGCCATTTTAAAATTATGTAAAAAAGATGGCTTCCTTAAAAACGAAAAGATCCAATTTTTATTGATGCCAATTTGTAGAAAATTAAAAATTCTGTAAAATGAGCCCAAACAAGGCAATTTTATCTTAAAAACTGTGAAAATGCAATAAAATGGAATCCACATTCCGCCATTTTGAATTTAAACGTATCGCGATTGTTTATTTATTTTTGAAGATAAACTAGTCGTGTTTAGACTTATTTTAAAGGATTTTTAATCGTGATTAAGAATTTTGATTCACCATTTTGAAATTATCAATAAATTAATTACTATTAAAACTTTTTTTCTATTATAATTAACACTAACATTAACAATTAAAAATTCATTAAAATGAGCCCTAACACGATTACTTTATTATCATTTTTTTTTCATTTTGACAGTTTTTAAGATAACTTAAAAACTGTCAATACGAAAAAAAAATTGAATCCACAATCCGCCATTTTGAATTTTAATATGCTACTTTTTAATTTTTAAAGATAAACTAGTCGTGTTTGGACTCATTTTAAAGGATTTTTAATCGTGATTAAGAATTTATGATCCGCCATTGAAATTATCCAAAAAGTTAGTTTTGTTTTGGATAAAAAGTCCGATTTCTATCAATACTACCTTATAAATCATGAAAAATCCTTTAAAATAAGCCCAAACACGACTACTTTATCTTAAAAAACCAGCAAAATGAAATAAAACCTAACCTACATTCCGCCATTTTGAATTTAATCATAATTTCCATAATTTTTCTATTTTTCAAGATAAACTAGTCATGTTTGGGCTCATTTTAAAGGATTTTTCATCGAGATTAAGAATTTTCGATCCGAAACTAGGCGTATTGGAAAACTTAAATTTACTTTTAAATCGTAATTAAGAATTTTCATATTTTTTTAAAATTAATTCTTAAGAATTCTATTAAAGTTGTTGGCGTAATAAAACCACTACAATTTGATGATAAAAAGTTCGTACCTGAAGATGATCTTAATGTAATTGAAACAAGCTGCACTGAATTATAATAAAAGTAAAGGAAATTTGAGGTTGACAACATGATAATAGATTCGTTTGTTCAACCGCAAATACCACCATCTCCATTTCCTTTGTTAACCAAATAAAGCAGTGGTCCCAACATTCCATATAAATGAACTCATTTCAGTGTAATTTCGCTATTGATAAATAATGTTTCTCTTTTATTTTCAGAGGAATTATGTCAATGTCCTCAAAAATGTGATGAACGTATACCAAGGGACGTACGAGAAAGACTGTTCAATCATTTTTATAATCTCGGAGACGCCGATAAACAAAATACATTCCTCCGTCAACACATGGACGTGAAAACGCGGTGTTCAATTAATACATTAACCGGATCTACATCGCCCCTCGATCCAACAACATCTTCACCGACAAGAAACGGACCCGGAATAAGAGGTCCGCGTAGAATAACTTGCAGATACCTAGTACCTTTATTACCCGGCGATAAAACAACGGACGTTTGTCAAAAAGCTTTCGTAAGTGCCTTCGTGATAACAACGAAACGCGTTCGATTGCAACGCGAAAAATTAATAAGCAGCATGGGTCTCAACAAGTACAGTAACGGAAGTGGTACGAAAACCGTCAAAAACTACAATAACAACAACGTTTTGATGTTGTGCGATTCGAATTCGGATAGTTCGTCGAATGAGAGTCGGTTTGACGAGGAGTTGAGACGATTTGGTAGACAGTTTCAAACGAACAATTTATGTTTTAAAGATGGGAGAAGGAACGGTGATGATCCGTTTGTTCCTTTGGGATTGATCGTTCCCGATAGTGTCACGATAACGCCCATTATGCCAACGGTGATCGATCACGACGCGGATATAGCCATCGTGAACAATTTCTTTTCGAATCAATTGTGGAAACCGGAATATCTTAAATCGTATTCATGAATGTTTTGAGCACCATTCAAATCCACAATTTTCATCAGTACTTAGATTTTTTTTTAATTAATCAATTTTTTTTACACCAGACCAAAAAATGAAGGCGACCAAATCTGGAATTCAATTACTTCACTACATTCCAGATGTTATATTTTCGTTTTATTTTATCTTTTTTTACCAATTTGTGCAAGATTTATTACCTAATATACGTATTGTTATTTATATTTGTACAACTCTAGAATGTATAGTCTATTGTTATTAAAAAAAGAAGAGTATATTCTATGTTTCTTATATTAGGTAAATGATTAAAATCATAAAAGTGATGTTTTCTTTTTAATAAAAAAAATAAAAACTAAGTTTTGTTTTAAATAATGTAGTTTAGATATACACAAACATTCCAACAAAGTAAGTACTGTAATTAAGAAACAAACTACCAATGGGCACATAATCTCAACAAGACGACCTCTATATTCCTAAAGCAACCTTACATTTCCAACGTTAGATATCGCAACTTCTGAGATTCATGGTTACCTTTCCTTTCAAAAACTAGAGATCTCTTTGGTTCGTTAAACACTCCCACCTTCACATACAAATAAATTATAAACTGTTTTTGAAAATAATCTCAAGCGAAGAGAAACATCTAACCATGGCAAAAAGTTAGCCATCGCACCTGTTAAGTTTCTGGTCATAACAGAATATATTTTCCACAATGGCCAAACTTGTGTCTCCTATACAAAGTAGATCAAAACAAAACTAACTTTTAATATCTAAAATGTGTGCAGCTGCAAGCAGTATCTAGGCCTGCCGGCAGTATACAGTTTGCTACAAGCAGTACCTTGTCATCAATCAGCAGATATACGTTTCTATTAGCAGTATCTAGTCTTCTGCCAGCTATATAAAAGCTTCTGCAAGTAATTTCTTGTTCTGTCAGTAGTATATGGTCTGCTACAGACAGTTCCTAGTCATCTATTGACGGATGTAGCGTTCTATCGGCAGTATTTAGTGGTCTGCGAGCAGTATACAGTCTGGTGCAAGCTATATCTAGTCATCAATTAGCAGATCTAGCCTTTTATTAGCAATATCTAGTCTGCTACCAGTTGTATATAAGCTTCTACAAGTAATTTCTTGGTCTGTCAGTAGTATATGGTCTGTTGCAAACAGTCCCTAGTTATCTATTAATGGATGCAGCCTTCTATCGGCAGTATTTAGTGGTCTGCGAGCAGTATACAGTCGGGTGCAAGCAGTACCTAGACATCAAAAAGCAAATCTAGCCTTCTATTAGCAGTATCTAGTATTCTGCCAGCTGTATATAAGCTTTTGCAAGCAATTTCTGGTTCTGCCAGTAGTATGTGGTCAGTTACAAACAGTTCCTAGTCATCTATTAGCGGATGCAACCTTTTATCGGCAATATTTAGTAGTCTGCAAGCACTATACAGTCTGCTGGAAGCAGTACCTAGTCACCAAAAAGCAAATCTATCCTTCTGTTAGCAGTATCTAGTCTTCTACTAACTGTATATAAGTTTTTGCAAGCAGTTTCTTGTTCTGCCAGTACTATATATATTTCCGATAGCAATTTCTAGTTCTGTCAGCAGCATATGGTCTGCTGCAAAGCAGTTCTTAATCATTCTTATTAATCTTCTGCAGGTAGTATATAGTCTTCTGCAAATAGTATCTAGACTTTTTCCAGCAATATATAGGTCATCTTCAAGCAGTACTTAAGCATGCATTAGATGATCTAATCTTTCATTGTTAGCATCTAGGTTTCTCTAAACAGAATCTAAAGTGCTATAAACAGTATCTAACCCTTTATAAGCAGTATTAGAAAAGATTGGGCGAAAGGCAAGTATTCGGCGCTTTAAAACCGGACCACCATGGCTAAGGTATGGTAACTTCAACAGAACAGAGCCTGCCCCTCTAAGTTATAAATTAAGCATGGTGGTTGGACCTATCCTATAAAAATCTAGGCTTTGCGAGAACTAGACAGAATGTTGCTAGACCAATTATTGGAAGATGAGATTTGCTAAGAAGAAATGGCTAAGAGAATGACATTGCAATTTGAGACATAGAATGTAAGGACACATGGAATGCTGAATAATAAAGCGATGGTGATGTTGGCGAACGTGCTTAATTATTTACGAATTCATTTAAATAACACTTCTCCTGTTAAAATCCAATACCTTTCCTGTCATTTTTCTTTCTGTGATATACAACCGCTGCAATATCTTCGACTTGGACGCCTGTTCTAAATATTCCTCGAAGTTCGTATAGCCCTGAAAAATTGCCTTAGTTAAAAGTAAGATCGGAAAAACTTCGTTGCCATTCCTTCGTTATAGATACTAAAGCCTTTCATATTACTGGGGAGTAGCTCGATACGCCCGGAAATAATCTGTTGGCCCAAATACTCAATAATCATGTCACCAAATTGGCATTTCAACGATGCGAATTGCAGGTGTTTGTGCATTTGCAGTTTATCGAATTTCAGGTAGAGGTGTTCCTTCCAATTACTGCTGAAATAGATGACGTTCAAATACACAAATATCTTGTAACACAATTTTAAGTCAAACAACTGATTACCACCTGGGAAAAGCAATTACTAATAAATAGTAAATTGTTAAGTCTGTTTGAACATTCTTTTAACGTCCTGGGTGACCACCTCTTCGTTAAAGTTGAACAGCAGTATGCAGGAATCATTTCGAAGTATGACAATGTGTGACAATTGTAGGAAGATAAGGAATTCTTGCATAAAAGTAGTGTTCCCTATTTTAAGGTATTTGCCCACCTCCGCTTGTTGCTGATACTTCCAGAAAAGTGTGTCAACGAGGTGATCAGCGATTTCAAAGATGTCAAAAAAATAAAAATTTCTATTTATGAAGTTACCCCATCTATCGATAAATAGCCGTGTTAAACCGACTTTTGACAACTAACATGAATGAATGTCAACTTAAACAACAATTTATTCGTTTCATGAAAAAATGAGAAAATATTGTGGATTTTTGAATATTGTCTTGATTCATTAATTTAATTTATTATACAGGGAATTATTTTAAAATCAAACATATGGGTGCTTAAACTGTGACTTTTCTTTCAATTTTTAAGGTTATATCAGGTAATTATTATATTTATAGGAAAACCGTGGCATTAATAAATGAAATTTTTCGAAGATTAAGAAAGAAAATTAATTATTAAGTGAAAATTTTTAATGTTAACGATTTTTTTTAGATTCAAGAATTCTTAAAACAAAACAACCCCATCTAGCGGCAATAAATCATATTAGAATTTTTAAAATTTTACAATCTTTCTTAATTTCCCCATAAACTTTACAAATTTCATAAAAATTAAATTAAATACTGAAACTATTTATTTATAGTAATCTAATTTCCGTTTTCCAAATGAATCAGCACTTTATTAGCAATTATTGACAACAAACATAAGCTCACTTTTTATTAAATAGTATTTTTAAATATTTACATCCACTATCATTCTTAACAGTTTTAGTAAATTTTATCCCAAATTAAATATAAAAAATTAAATAAAATACTCATACTATTTATTTGTAGTAATTTTCTTGCACCAAATCAATCAGCAAATTATTGACAGCTATTTTGACAATAAACATAACCTCACTTTTTCACCATATCGATTTAAAAATTTTATAGATTTTCAAAAATTGAGGTGATTTATTTAAGAAAAAAACAAAGTTGATCCGATTAATTTCATTAATTTTAAAAAGTGCTTAAAATAATCTCAAAATCTTTATAACAATTAAAATTAGGTCATTCAAACCCCAAAAAAAAAGTTTCTTCTTTTACTTACCACCGAAAGTGTGAGAGTCATTTTTCCGGTAAAAGAGGACGCCGTGATTGATTTTCGTTGTTCGAATCGGACCGGGGTTGAATTGGTAAAATCGAAATGAAAAAATAAACCGGGTGTATAATAAAAAAAAAGCCGAAACGCCAGGGGCGGATTCGCTTCGATACGCGACCTTCGACACGGAACACGAACTAAACCCGAAACCGTTGCTGCCCCGGAGAGAAATCTCACCGAGCCGGGCGTCGTGACGTCAATAACCCCTCTTCTAAACCTCCCCCGCGAACGTTATATCGATGCGTTTTAGGGGTTCACCTCAAAAATATAACCCTTACAAAAGTTTTTTTTTATTCAAGATAAATTAATTCCCTAACTTATTTATTATATATTCTATTAAATTTAAGTTTTATAAAATCGCGATTTGTGTAAAAAATGTAATAAATCGCAATTTCGGTACGAAAATTCAAATATTTTAGGTTATGTCAAATATTAAAGTTGACAACTAAATGTCACTTTGACATTTCCATAATTATTTATTTACAATGAAAAAAATCAAATAAAAGGAAGGAAATGATCAAAACAAGATAAGATTGTAAATAATATGACACCACTTCATTTTATCAAAAACAGCAATCCTTCAAATTAATTTCTTAGAAAAAAGTCATCTTAATTAACTCACTTAACCTTAAAACCTTATTCCAATTTACTTGTTGATCAATTCACTTCTTTTTAGTTAATAAATTAATTGATTTATAAAAGAGAACTTAAGAAATTTGACATAATGTAAACCTAACCTAGAAGATTTCTCAAGGTTTTACTCACCCTTTCCAACTTTTGAAAATATTCCCGAAGGAACGATATGGGATTGTCCGGTCGATTAACGCAAAGCTGTACGATACAATCTTTTAGGATTTGCTGAATGCTGTGTGTTTGAACGTAGGCTTCACATTCTCTAAGAGCCTGTTCGTCGTCCATATTACCAGCCATAATTCCGGAACCAACAAACGTCTATTCCCCGCAATAAATATAGACGTCTCCAGCGAAAACACCAATGCAATGAAACAACTAAAGACGGCAATTTTTCTTTGAGAATACTATTTTTAACCTTTTTAAGGTCCACGAATAACACGACACTTGGAAAACATCAATTGACTTTTGATTTTTCTTATTTACTGATGGCCGGTAAAGTAGTTGTCTGTTTATAAAGAAATATTTTTGACGTTTTATTATTATTTCTTTTAATAAACTTTAATTTAACATTTTTAACGTTTTTATCATATAATTTTTATGTGGAAAAAATTTTAATTTAACATTCGAAATTAAATGATTTCGGTTTAAAATTATATTTGTAAGGGTATTTGGCTATCTTAATTTTTGAAATAAACTTTATTTTTAACTGTTTTATTATTTATTTGGTGGGTTGTTATATGTTAATTATATATGAGGGTATAAATAAATTATTAATAATAAAAGAGATTTACTAAAATGTTTATTTAGTGTTAAGTTGGCGCATAAATGTCAAATAAATAACCGGGAAAATGTTTGGATGAAGAAAAGTTAGGTTAATTTAAATTTGTATTTGTTTAAAAGGAAAAAAAATTATTTAAATATATTTAAAAGGTACGTTTTTTTGTAAGTAATGTAATCTTTGTTAAATAATAGTAACTTTTTTATGGTAGAGCTAATTATGATTGATTCCGAGGAGGATATGGTACCAGCAACTCCGGAAATAAAAAGTAGAAAGATAAAAGTAAAAGTATTAAGCCCAAAAAACGAAAACGAACATATTGATAATAAAAAAAGAACAATATCTCCATCATGTAGTAATCATAACTTAGAAAAGAAATTTAAGAAAGCTCAAATTGAAAATGCGGATCCTCTTACGATTCATAAATGTTTAGAGAAATCACCAATTTTAACAAAACGCTGGCCAGCTAAATCATCACCTAGAAAATCACCTAAAAAGATTTCCCCTAAGAAAGCACGTTCACCTAAGAAGAAATTATTTGAGACAACTCACGATGTAAATATGTTTAAAGTTGAGGTGATCGATAATTTTGTTAAAGTAACACCAAGTAAATCAAGTTGTGCACCATCCTTGTCGCCTAAAAAAAGAAGTTCAGAGAAGAAACAAAGTTCCATTTTACAATATACCTCTCCATCTTTATCATCTCGGTACAAAAAATTGTTTTTGGATTGATTTTATTGATTGTAATTTTCAAATTTAGGTTTCAAACGGAAATGAAAACACCTCCACAGGAAAAAACACCAAGTAAAAATATAACACCATCAATGTCACGAGTTAAAGTTAAATTACATTTCGAAAAATTAAATTGTGATGATTTAATTGAAAAGAATTTAAAGATTGAAGTAAAAAATGAATATATGGAATTGATGGGGGATGATTTTTCTGATTTTTTCGAGAACGATGTGGATTTAAAACTGGTAAAAATGATTTTTTATTTATTTTTTTTTGTATTATTCAAGAATCATTGTGAGACGTGACGTCACTTTCTGTGACGTCATCGACCGTGCTAACACTGCCTCAATAAAGTCTCTGTACCACTTCCAAGGTAATGAAAAACTTGTTAGGATTGATAAAGAAATGTAAAAAATTCGAATTGTAACATTTATTTCGTGTTGTCGTATTTTGCGCTTTATCCTATCCCATGATCTATGGGATTGAGATCTGGGGATTGTGGAGGGGTATGTAATTGATGGGGAACATTATACAGCAGCCATAAGCGCACAATTTCTGTGTTTCTGTGTTCATGTGCTTGGGGTCATTGTCTTATTGAAAATGATCTGGCAATCCCAAAATTTCTAGCACTTTCTAATAAATTATTTTTTAAAATATCAAGGTAATATATTTATCCATGATTCCATTTATAAATGTCATTGCCTGCACCAGCAGCTGACATACTCCCCCACAACATAGCACTACCACCTCCATATTTTGCTGTTAGGCACAAATTATCTCGTTTGAATGTATTTCTTTGCAAACTCCAGCCGTTTTATACGGTTCTTTTGTGATATAAAGGGCTTGTTCCTAGGTATGCAGCCATGATATCTACTTTTGTAGAGAACATTTCGAATTGTTTATGCACTTACTTGTCTTTTGAGATACAGAATTTAGTTCGTTAGCGATTTTGGAAACACTTATCTTAGGATTCACCTCGCACACTCAATACTCTAGGACGCTCTGTACGAAGCTGTATTTTTGTCGAACTTTTTTTATTGTAATTTTCTACAATATACATACACGAACGCGTTTTTTTTTTACAAATTTGCTAATTTCACCTAATGATTTCCCATCTTTTCGTAAACTAACAATCAAATCTCGAATGCTTTGTGAAATTTGGCGGTTTCTTGTACTCATTTTTAATAAATATCCAAAAATTGAATGGCACGAATACGACATCAAACTACAGTAGTCTTTTTGCGAGAACATACACGGCTAGGGACTTGTTGTGCGTAGAATTTACGCTTTCTCTTGTATTTACTTTTTTATAAATCCCAAAAACGTTCAATTTGGAAATAAATGTTACAGTTCGAATTCCTTACATTTCTTTATCCTAACAAGTTTCGGGTGAAGTTATGGGTTCATATTTTCGGGGGAAATATGGTTGTTTCTTAGGTTTTCGACGCACAACGACTCAAATGTCATTGTTTACCATCTATAAATTAAAGATAACCTCTTTAAACGTTACATTCGGATCCACCCAATTTACTGATTTATATCAGAATGTTGTGTTGAAATTCCACCTCGAGTTAGGTTAATTAACATTTAAATCAGTGCGAATTTCTCAAATGTCGGGTTGGGATGGAGCGCACGGCTAAATCCAATACTTTCTAGTTCTAGTTTTACACTAGCACTATCACTAGAACTGACACAAGACCTAGAACTAGAATCATTCGGGTTTAGCAGCACGTTTCTTAAGACGTTTTTAGAGTATTAATTAAAAATGTTTTAGTTGAATTAAATTTTTGAATTAATCTAAAGTTAATTAATGTTATTATTAATAGATGGCGCCACTTAATAAATGTCAAAACTAATTTATTTAAAAAAAGATTAATTAAATACCTTTCTTCTGGTAATATAGTGTAAATACTACTAATATCTTTATAAACATGTTGCAAACTCTCCAAATCCAATAAAATCCAATAATTAGTCCAATGTATGAAATTCAGTTATGTAGATGACTCAAAACGCTTTTGCTAATCTCTTTTAAGCTCACATTCGAAGATGAATCATAATTTTAAATACATTTTTATACATTATACTAAATTTGATAAGTTAAATGAATTTGCGCTCGTTGTGGCATAAGAATCAATGTGGAATGGTGGGTTTTTGTACCGATCTTGAAGATTTCTTTCTAATTCGACTATTATTGTTGTGTGATCGATATATGTGACTATATATGTGATATACGTCCAATTAGATTTAGATTTGATAAACATTTCCTTTGCTTTTCTCTGCAATTTGAAATTATAATGTTGTTGATTAAAGTTTTAATAGATGGCGCTACTTATTAAATTGCATTATACAAATATGTACATTAATTTTTTTTTTAAATACAATAATTATTTGATAAATTTATCTAAATAATGTTATAAGTTATTATTTTTAATTAAAAATGTTTTAATTGAATTAAAATTTGGAATTTATCTAAAGTTAATTGATGTTATTATTAATAGATGGCGCCACTTAATAAATGTCAAAACTAATTTATTTTAAAAAAGATTAATTAAATACCTCTCTTCTGGTAAAATAGTTAGCCGTCTTGAGAGACGTGCGACTAAACCCGAATGTTTCTAGTTCTAGGTCTAGTGTTAGTTCTAGTTTGAAATATATTTTGCGTTAGATTGTGGTATATTTTTATTGAAAGAAAAGTAGTTCTAGGTCTAATGTTAGTTTTAGTGACAGTGATAGCTAGCGCTAGTTAGCATAAGATATCACTATGTTGTATATTTTTATTGCACTAAAACTAGAACTAACAAAACGTGACGTCTCATCGAAACTTTAATGCGATTTTTCGATATGTTCACTTTTCCACACTTTCTTTTTATTTTTAACGTGTTTTTTTGGTCATTTCACATTGATTTAAAAAAATCGTCGATTTTTAAGCCACATGATTCTTGAATTTTTCCCTTTTTTTTAATAATTTAATTTATTTTAGCCTGAAGAAATATACTCATTAGATTTAAGCCAACCTCAACATTGTAAAGTATTAAGTTTTAATAAAATAGATAAGAATAAAATGGAGATTATCGTTAAATCGACTAAAAGCGATGAAAAAGCTAAATGTGTTTTAGAAGGATTTTGGCAAGTTATTTGAAATAAATTAATGATGATTCATCATTTATTTATATTTTAGGATCCACACAAACTTCGATGTTAAAGCGGAAATTTATTTACAAGGAATTAAATTAAATAACGAGCCATTTTGGAGGGTTACAAACAAGGAGGGTTTATTAGTTTATGAACCTAATCTTTTAATTTCAAGCACCTCCGTCGTTGGTATATTTTCCGATATTTTCTTTATTATAGTAATTAAATGTTTGCGTTTAATTTTATAGGGGCATTATTTTGTAAGAGAAGAGCCGTTTTTAGGACATATTTCGCCGGATTTGAACCCGAAAATAAAGTCATGATAATTGGAGTTTTAGTCCATAGTTTATTACAAAACGTTTTAAAATCAAAAGCGAATACTCTACGTCAAATTGAGACTATTTTAAAAGCTTTATTAACCACGAAAGATTCAGTAAAATTAAAAATTAATTAGTCCAGCGATCAAAATAATTCTTTTTATTACTTATAGGTTAAAATGCTTTATCGAACATCTTTAACTTTAGAAGAAATCAAAGAAGAAATCTCAACTTTTATACCGAGAATATTAAAATTTATACAAGTTTATTTTTTCGATAAAACCGATACAAACATAAATAATTGGAAAGGTCATATTGATTCCATTAAAGATATTGAGGAAAATATTTGGTGCCCCGAATTAGGTATGAAAGGTAAAATCGACGTCACATTAAAAATCGATGACGAGAAAATGATGCCGCTTGAGATAAAAACAGGAAGAACCACCGTTTCTTTAGAACACCGAGGGCAAGTTATGATTTATATAATGATGATGCTCAAACTCGGTTATAACGTCTCATCAGGGTTATTACTTTACTTAAAAGAAGGCGATTTAAAAGAAATTAAAATCAACGAGAGCGAAAAGCGCGATATTATTCTACTTAGAAATGATTTGGCGTATTTCCTAAAACAAAGAGTACAATTAAAAAGAAACGATAAAGACGAGAAAACATTAGAATCTATGAAATTACCCGAACCAATTCATCATCACAGCGCTTGCGGAAAATGTCCTTATAACATTATTTGTTGCGCTTATTTAAGGTTAATAACTCAATTTTTGTAGTTTATTAATTAAAAATAATCATTTTAGTAAGGAAAATTATGATTTATCTTCGAATGTGAGCTTAAAGGAGGTTAGCAAAAGCGTTTTGAGTCATCTAAGTGAATCTCATATTAACTATTTCATACATTGGACTAATTTATTGGATTTGGAGAGTTCGCAACATGTTCATAAAGATATTAGTAGTATTTATACTATTTTACCAGAAGAAAGGTATTTAATTAATCTTTTTTAAATAAATTAATTTTGTCATTTATTAAGTGGCGCCATCTATTAATAATAACATTAATTAATATTTGATAAATTCAAAAATTTAATTCAATTAAAACATTTTTAATTAAAAATAACAATTTATAACATTATTTAGATAAATTCATCAAATAATTATTTTATGTTAAAAAAAAAATGTATTTATTCGAATAATGCAAATTAATAAGTGGCGCCATCTATTAAAACTTTAACCAACAACATTATAATTTCAAATTGCAGAGAAAAGCAAGGGAAATGTTTATCAAATCTAAATCTAATTGGATGTATCGCCGATGCAGATGGATTTTATAAACACACATTTAAGAAAATCACCGAAACAACGACATTATTAATCTCAGGTTTAAACGAAAGCAGCTATGTGGTTATAAGTACTAATGAAAGACCGGCCGTTGCATCAGGATTAGTCACATATATCGATCACACAACAATAATAGTCGAATTAGAAAGAAACCTTCAAGATCGGTACAAAAACTCACCATTCCACATTGATTCTTACGACTCAACGAGCGCAAATTCGTTTAATTTATCGAATTTAGCGCTTTTACTTGAAGATACGGAAACGTCGCAACGTCTTCGCGATTTAATTATCGATAAGAAGCCTCCAAATTATTTAAAGAAATTACCAAGAATTGTTGCGACGAAAGCGCCGCCGATTTTACAACGATTAAATGCGGTGCAACAACAGGCTGTTTTAAAGGTGCTTACCGCTGAAGATTACGTTCTTATTAAAGGGTTACCCGGGACGGGAAAAACCGCTACGATTGTTGCTTTAGTTGAGTTATTAACGGAAATAGGAAAATCTGTGTTAATTACGAGTTATACACATAATGCTGTGGATAACGTTTGTTTACGATTAAAAAGAAGAGGGGTTAAAGTGTTAAGATTAGGTTCCCAAGGAAGGATCCATTCTGATTTAATTGATATGTCCGAATTTGAGTTAACTAAGAATTGTCAAAGTGTTGAGGAGCTTGAAAAAGTTTATAACGAGGCGGTACGTTAAAAATGATTGTATAATTCAAGAATCATCATGTCAAAAACGCATATTTTCGGGTGAAATACGGTTGTTTCTTAGGTTTTCGACGCACAACGACTAAAATGTCGTTGTTTACCATCTATAAACTAAAGATAACCTAAAATCTATACCTGATGCCCTATCCTCCTCTTAATTTATTGGTTCCTGAATGCTAGATACTGTTAGAAAAAGACTAATTATTGCTACCAGAAGATTAAATACTGCTAGTAAAAGACCAAAAACTGCTTGGAAAGAGGAAATACTATTTCAACAAGTTACCTACCGTTTTCAAAATAATACCCATTGCTTCCAGAACGCTAAACACTGCTGTTAAAGGTTTTGACCTACTTGGACAGGCGGAATAGTGCTTCCAAGACTACAAACTGATTGGAAAGACGAGATACTGCTTCCATAAGACTACTTACTGCTTTCAGAGCGCTATATAGTACTAGAAAAGATTACTACCTGCCTGGAGAAGACTAAATACTGCTAGGAGAAAAATTATTTGTTTGGAAAGACAAGATACTGTTTCCAAAAGACTACTTTCAGAATGCTAAATATTGTTGGAAAGAGTACTAATTGCTTGGAGAAAGCTAGAAATTCGTTGGCAAAGACTATTTAATGCTTTCAGGAGACTATATACTGCTGCCAAAAGACTACTAAGTGCTTGGAGATTACAATACTACTGGCTGAAGACTATTCTTCTATTGAGTGGTATCGTTCTGTGTCCCTTCCATTACAGATTTAAAAATTGCTGCTACAACACTCGATTCTTTGTCTCCCAAATGCGATATATCTTTTTAGATGCGGGTAGTGCACCTCTCTTTAAACGTTACATTCGGATCCACCTAATTTACTGATTTATTTCAGAATTTTGTGTAGAAATTCCACAGGTTGGACATGGAGCAAAGAGTGGGTTGTAAATTCCGGGTTGGGTTAGCCGTGCGTCTTCAGATACCTTCTAGTTCTAGTGTAAAACTAGAACTAACAGAGAGACGTGCGGCTAAATTCAAATGTTTCTAGTTCTAGGTCTAATGATTGTTACAGTGATAGGTAGCGCTAGTTAGCATAAGATGTTGCATATTTTTATTGCATTAAAACTAGAACTAACACTACACCTAAAACTAGATAAATATGTCGTGTTTGTACTCATTTTAAAGGATTTTTGATGAAGATTATTACAAATATGTCAAAATTGAGATTGACATTTTAAATCTGAAGTTAGTTATCATATAATAGACAAATGGACAACTTCATGGTGTTCTGTCATGATGTATTCTTTATTAAAACAACCTTTAAAATGAGTCCAAACATGACGCACTTATCTCAAAAAACCAAAAAGTTCGAACTTTCAACTTTTAATTTTGACATATTTGTCAACTTCATAAAAAATCTTTTAAAATGAGTCCAAACTCGACATATTTAACTTTAATATTAATGGAAATACAATCACTTCCGGTTTGAAACGTCAACGTCAATTTTGACATATTCGTCAGTTTCATTAAAAAACCTTTAAAATGAGTCCAAAGATGACGCACTTATCTCAAAAAACAAAAAAGTTAGAATAAAAAACATTAAACCCGAAGTTAGCAACAATGAAGATAGCAATTTAATTTTTAAATATTAATACCAACCTTAATTTTTTATTTTTTTTTTTTATATTATTTTTTTGTGACAGACATTAAGACATTTTATAAAAATTAAGAATATGTCAAAATGACATTGACATTTCAAACCGGAAGTTGCTTATATCTCGAGTAATATTGGAATTAAACGTATCATGTTTGGACTCATTTTAAAGGATTTTTCACGACGATTACAAATATGTCAAAATTGACGTTGACATTCTTAACCGGAAGTTGACCATAACTTCATTAATATTGAAGATAAATATGTCGTGTTTGTACTCATTTTAAAGGATTTTTAATGAAGATTACAAATATGTCAAAATTGAGGTTGACATTTTAAATCTGAAGTTAGATATCATATAATAGACAAATGGACAACTTCATGGTGTTTTTTTATGATGTATTCTTTATTAAAAAGAACTATTAAAATGAGTCCAAACATGATGTTGCTAGATATCACTATGTTGTATATTTTTATTGCACTCAAACTATAACTAACACTAGACCTAGATCTAGAAAGTATCGGGAAGTTCTAGTTTTACACTAGAATCATTCGGGTTTAGCCGTCTTGAAAGACGTGCGACTAAACACATTAAAACATTAAAAAATTGCTACAAAACGTGAAGTCACATCGAAACTTTAATATGATTTTTCGGTATGTACTACACTTTTCCGCACTTTCTTTTTATATTTAACGTGTTTTTTTGAGTCATTTCACATTGATCAAAAAAGAATTGTCGATTTTTAAGCCACATGATGATCCTTGAATTTTTCCATGATGATTATTTGTATAATTACTTAATTATTTACTTAATCTTTTTTAGAAAGTTTTAGCCGTTACATGTTTGGGATCAAAACATCCCGTTTTGAGTAAACGTACCCTCGATGTTTGTTTGATCGATGAAAGTACTCAAGCGTTACAATGCTCGTTGTTTAGGGCTTTATCGGTTTGTAAGAAATACGTGTTTATTGGAGACCCCAATCAATTACCTCCGTTAGTTAAAAGTGAAGATGCTCGATTAAAAGGAATGTCGGAGACGGTGTTTGATCGCCTACAAAGTGATGTTGGAATGGTTACTTTGAATATTAATTATCGGATGAATGCGACAATAACGGATATAGCTAATAAGTTTATGTACGATGGGGAATTAAAGATTGGAAAAGATTCGATTTCAAATGCAACGCTTAATTTTGATACATCGGTAAAAGAAAAATTAATTTAAGACGTTCGCTACCGCGCCTTCTGCAATAGTTTTTTCCCGTGTACCATTCGTAGTTTCTTTGATTTCGAGATTCAGGTTTATGTTATTTACATGTTGGTTTATTGACCAGTTTACTGGACTTTGAATTTCTAAGTTTTGCACCAACGTCCAGTCAACTGGACACACACCTAAATTTCTTCAAAGTCTCTATTTTCTTTTTCTAAATACAACGTAATCTGCTATACAAACCAAAATGAATACTACACCTACCCCAAAATATTACAAAACATAATTATTGTGCACTGTGCCAAATTGTGAAGCATGGCTCTATGCAATAACCAGGGTTTTTTGGACATATCGGGCTGTTGTACCAGGATTTCTTGTAAAGTCCACCTCTGCTACACTGATGACACATATCTATGTGGAGGGAACTGTCTTCAGATAATGGAATTCTGATTGTTGGTCTGTGGTATCAGCATATCCTTTATAACTTCTTCTCTGAACCTCAAGAGATCAATTTTGGTTGTAATAGGCATTCCATATTGCAATATTTATAAGATGAAACAATACTTCTGTAGCATCTTCCCATCATCTGGTCTGATCTGTCTATCTCGGACATGTACTTATTGTAGGCGAGAACACACTCTGGTTTCATTACTTGTTTTCCTTTTCTATTCGTTGCTTTTACCATTCGGTATGCATTGTTAATATCATAGCCACCAATCTCTTGTCGTTCGAGTGTGTAACTAACACTGGACCTTTTCTTTTCCATACAGCTTCTCCTTTATTAATTTTTTCTTGAAATAATTGTTTCGGATTTCCCTTTATAAAGTTTCTACAAGTTTCGTCTTCCTTTTGATCAAATATTTTGCTAGACACACTAGTGTAATAATTATCAAGGTATATTTCATGCCCTTTATCCAAATAGTCTTTTAGTAGCTCCGTTACGACTGAAAAAGTGTGGGAATGCTCTTGATGATTGTCTATTATACTGCCTTTTCCAGTATAGACAAGTATATTCAAAACAAAGCAATCAAATGTGGGAAGCTCATACAGCTTTATTCCGTACTTATGCTTCTTGTTCATAATATACTGCCTAATAATTAACTAATTTAACTTCTGATGGAATAACATCTGAAATTAATGAATTTGTAGAAATTATCTGCTTTGTAATTTCTTCAAATGGTTTTAAAACATTTATTGTTGTTTCTAACAAATTCCATTGATTTGTTGTAAGATTAAGTGTGGTATTATTTTCTAATAAATATATAATTAAACATCTTTTTAGTTCGAGCAGTCGTTCTAGCATGTAGAGGGTAGAATTCCACCTGGTTGGTACGTCTTGATGTTTTTGGCGTCATGACCAAATCATTCTGAATAGATTTTAGTTTATCACATGATAACGAAGAGTGATTAAAATATGTAACAATTTTTCTGGCACAAGCTATCATATCTTATATAGTCCTCTGCGAAAAAATGGCATCCATTACTACAAGCTGCAGTGAATGAATAAAACAACTTTCGCTATCAATTTTGGCATCTCTGCAGCCGTTAATCACGTAACATTATTGTAATTTGCTTCAATTGTATGTCCCATAATTGAGTTATATTCAAAATTTTATTTGCGACTACCATTTCAGTATGACTTTCTGGAAAGCTGTCTCAATTCAGCCAATGTCCTGTAATACTTATGATACTATTATTGTTTTTCGAACATGTCCAAATATCAGAATTTAACGCTATCTATTCCAATTAAGACAATTTTTTTTTTGCAATTTCAGTCCATAATAAGTCATAAATATCAGATAGATCATCTCAGTTATTTTGACAGCAATTTTTTTAGCTCGTGGATCGTTTATACCTCAAGGTTTATTTTTCTCAAGTTTCTTATCTTCAGTTTTGTTTTCTTGGTATTTCTTATATTTATCTTCATGGTGTCGTTTTAAATGAAGTAGTAACGGACTAGTAGATACTGCTTTTCCTTTCACTCCTCTTGATATTTGTTGCTTGCACAATTTACAATTACCTTTTGTTTCATCACTTTAATTAATGTTAAAATATTCGCCACAGCACGAAAAACCTCTTCGTCCAATAGACTAGACGCGCCGGTAGCGAACGTGTTAAATAATTTTTTTTTAAATAATAAATTTTTCTTTTAGATACATAATATAACCAAGAAAAAATGGATCTTAGAAACACTCAGCACGAAATTAAAAGATTCCGTTAAGATATTAGACACGGGAAAAACCCACTTGTTAAATTACAATTTCAATTTCTCCGAAAAACTTTCTTCTAACGATGAATTAAAGTGCTCAAATCTTTATGAAACTGCGATTATTTATAAATTAATTAAAATTTTATTAAAACTTGGAATTCCGTATTCAAATGTAGGGGTTATAGCACCTTATCGCGCGCAAGTAGCTCAATTATCAAGCGTTTTGGTTGAAACTAAAATAGATGTGAGCACTGTCGATCAATTTCAAGGGCAAGATAAAAGCGTGATTATTTATTCTTGTACCAAATCAACGCCTGATTTAAAAATAACAAAATTTGATATATTGGAAGATAAGAGACGGTTGAACGTTGCTTTAACGAGAGCTAAACATAAATTAATTATAATTGGTGATGTTGAAACCGTTGGGAAGTATTCAACTTTTGGGAAATTGTTTAAATTTGTTGATTCTGATAATTTTATTAGATTGGAAAATGGAAATTTGGATTTTGATTGGGGAGAAGTTGCCGATTTAAAATTGGAATGAGTTTATCACATTTTTTTAATTATTTTTATATTTATTTGTAACTTAAGTTATAATAAAAGTATAAATAAATACTTTTTTTTATTAAAAAATTAACAAACCCAAAATTAAAAAATTCCCAAAATATTTTTTTAATGCTTTTTGCTCCTTGATTTGGTTCAATCATTCATGAAAACATCGACACAAATAAATAACTTATCAGATAAGTAGTCAACGTCGACATACAATAATTATTTCGTTTACTTTTCCTATTATTTATTGCTAAGAACTTGGTGAAGTTAAGGTATACAAACTGGCGCATTCTCACAAAAAGCTTCCAAGTTTTTCTTATATCCCGTATACTATAAGTGGTACCTAATACTGTGGTGTGTTATCAACTATTTTAATTAACCATAAAAACTTTTTGTAAATCCAATTTAATTTTTAATCATCCCCTATAAGCTACTATTTAATATTTACAGAATTGTGGATGATAAATACCCAGCAATTATATTTATTAAAGAAATAAAATTAAATAGAATGCCTCAACAAACGTATTATCACATAATGTAATGTACTAAGTTTTTTTTTGTCCTTTTCGAGACTCTTAAAAAAAAGTAACAAAAATTCAAATCAGTCATTGACGCCTCTATATTTTCAACAGACTAGAAGTAAATAGTTACTAGTAAATAGTTTTGTATTTAAATTAATAAACACAAAATGATTTTAATGACACCTAAATAGGCAACCCATCTTACATAAGCGACATTTGGGCTGCCTATTAACCCAAAATTAATTTGGAAGTTAACAAATTTGAGACTTTTAAACAATAAAGAATTGTGCGCTAAGAATTAATCTAACTTTGAAATTATTTAAACCACTTTTTTTAATTAAACCTCATGACGAATAAGTCGGTAAAGGATGATTGTATTTAAATTAACCCTCCAACACAAAACCTAAATAGGCAACTCATCTTACATAAATGACATTTGGGCTGCCTATTAACCGAAAATGGATAAATTTGGAAGTTAACAAATTCGAGACTTTTAAACAATAAAGAATTGTGCGCTAAGGATTAAGCTAACTTTGAAATTATTTAAATTATTTTTTTAATTAAACCTCATGAGGAATAAATCGGTAAAGGATGAGCCTCGCTGTTCATTACAAACTTATCCAAATCAATTAATTTCCTATCGTCGCTAAATAGTAAATATAAATACTTTAAAGTTTCCCCCAAGAAAAAAGTTTCCATCATATCCCTTCTCTTTAAATTGGTAACAGATTTTACATTACCTATCGATGTATATCCATTTTTAACTTTTGTGTAGGTCTCAAAAGCCTCAAAAATCTTCCAACCCCATTCTTGATACGTAGTATTTCCCGTTAATTGGTACATGTACCATAAGCTCTCAATGAATTCCGGTCTTAATAAATTATGGGCGTCGTTCGTTTTCACGTAGAGATCGTTAGAGTTTTCACCTTGCATATTAAAATAGGTTATTTCTGGAGCTAGAAATGTCGGTTGTTGAGCGTACGTTTGATAGCAAGTGTTCATCAAATCGTCTGCTAATTTTAAGTGTTTACTTGGAAGACCAGCGTGGACGCCCAATGCTAAAGTTCCCGGTAAATAACAGGTTAAATGGTCCATTTTTGGTTTAAAGTCTTTTCCTCCAGCCAAAATCTCTCCAAGAAAAACCAAGCCGTTTGGAACTGTTTTTTTCGCTAAATGCTTTTCAATTCCTTTAATTGCGGCTACATAATCATCGCGCAGACTAAAATTAAATTATTAAAACTAAAATAATCGAATTAAATTAAATATTTACTAATCGATAGTTTTTCCAGTTTGTAGCCATTGCTTTAAAAGGTATTCATAATAACTATCACCCCTTGCCCCTAATGTAATTGTTGAATATGATCTGAATTCACCTGATTGGGGATTAATAAAAATAGGAACTAAACCATCTGTCTTTTTTAAACCATGTATTATTACAGATACTTTTGCAGCTGCATCCTAGAAATAAGAATAATTTATAATAAAAAGAAATAATTTAATTATTTTCTACCTCATATTTTGGATCACCAGTACATCTACTTAAATCCCTAAACTCCAATTGAATGGTACTAACTTCAGCTGTGCTACTATCTGGAGACCATCTTGGAGGATGTGCTTGCATTGTGTGTAAATTAACATCTGAATATGGTACTCCAGATGGAGTTTCAAAACATGGTAACAACCTATCACCCAAATTAGTCTAAAAAAAATTATTAATTTCCAATTCAAATCCATACTTAATGACTTACAGCTTTTTGTAAATACATCCGATCACCTGTTAAGTGATAAATACTTAATAAACTCCCTAAAACGCGAATTGTAACCTCAAATAAATTCACATCACGATCGTGAGTGAACTGTAAATGTTTATCAACCCAAGTACGAGCTTCTTCATATTCTAAAATCAAAAATATATATATAATAATAGGCAACTCTTTTTGCATAATTGTAACATGGGTTGCATACACCCCAACGTTACATTCAAAATTTTGGCAAATTTATTTCAAAAAATTACTAATTGATTAAAAATTTACCTCGTTGTAAACCCATAATATACATCGTATCCAAACTATCAATAATAGTTAATCCTAATCCAAACCAATCGTAATAATTTTTAGAAATTGGTTTTAAATTGTCATGGCCCCATGCGAATTCTTTATAACCTTGCCAGGCGTGTTTAAATGCTTCAACAACGGCTTTTTGTTGTTGAGTGGTTGGTCCGAAAAATAGTCTTGATGTGTTAACCTGAACGGGATCGAAACCGCCTTTAAGGCTGGGTTCCTCTAAAACTTGTCCGGGAACTTCATCACTACCACTTTTTTTTAATCCTCCCTTTTGTGTGGTTTCCACATAATTGATTATTAAAGAATCGGTGTTGTTTGGTATAAAATATAGTATCATGAAGAATAAGACGGCGAAAATCATGTAGATTAGACTGCGTTGGAACCTCGAAAGTTGATTCCATGTCTGAAATGTAAACGAATTTTTATGATACTCCCACGAGTCTCTTTTTAAACAATAGTCCATTTACCCTCCAAACGCTTTTGTTTCTTCGCAAATCGGTGGTTTCATTTAAAACGGGAATTCCAACTAGAACATGATCTTTATGAGCGGAAACCATTTCTCCGACACACCTTTCGAGGGAAAACGGTTAAACGCAAGTTTTCATCTCATTTAACCACGTTTTTTTAAATTGATCGATTCAAAATATTTAATAATTATAACATTTTTTTTGATACATCGAACGTGTGTAACGTGAAGTTAACACACCACTTCATTACGTAGGTACTTGTCAAGTTGAGCTCACTTCAGACTTATTATGTATATAGTGTATTTTTTAATCTGATGTCAAATTTGAGATACGAGAATTGTTAAAAACTTCGTAACGTTAATAAAATTAAAATTTGATTTGTATTAAATTATTATATATACAAAAATTGAATTAAGTAAATTATTTATAAAAGTATTAATTTAATTAATCAGATTTTTTTTTAAATATTTTTTTAACTAATATCGTATTAAAATGAATGTGGTGTATGTATAGATGTCAAAAATTTTGTAATTGACGTTTTGTTGTTAACCGCACTTTTTGAATTTTTTGGTTATTATTATAATTGATAATAATTATAATAATTATAATGGCTATGTTGGCGGTACAAGGTGTTAATCAAACGGGAATTCCCGATAAAATGTGGCAACCGCCTTTTGTTGTATTAGAAACAACGTTAGTTGAAATATTTTTTTAATTTCTTAAAATATATCGCTCTTTTTGCAGAATGGGTGAAATTACAATAGAATTTTGGAAACACGCCCCACAAACTTGTAGCAACCATAGATAATGGTAAGAACTTTGCTGAATTAGTCTGGCGGGGCAAGGTCCATTGAGTATTGGTTATTTATAAGGTTATCCAACTAGAAGAAATTGACGTTGACGGGGTGAGGAAGGAAACGTGACGTCATTGGAGGAAAAGTAAGTATAATATGATATACAGGTGCCCATTATGTATGGAATATAGCAGTGTGTCCATAAGGTCGATCGCCAACAAAATCATGAATCTTAAATATCTACTACTGTATATCTAGGCCTCAGAGCTAAAAAAAAAAAGGAAGGTTAGTTTTAAAATGTTAAAAAAGATTTTAAGTGCGTCTGAAGCGTTAGTTCTAGTTTTAGTGCAATAAAAATATACAACATAGTGATATCTAGCAACATCATGTTTGAACTCATTTTAATAGTTCTTTTTAATAAAGAATACATCATAAAAAAAACACCATGAACTTGCCCATTTGTCTATTATATGATAACTAACTTCAGATTTAAAATGTCAACCTCAATTTTGACATATTTGTAATCTTCATTAAAAATCCTTTAAAATGAGTACAAACACGAATTATTTATCTTCAATATTAGGTTCGTTCCAACCGCACTTTTGACTGTCAATTGACAGTCACCAGCCTGCGCAGTTGAAAAGTGCCGTTCCATCCGACCCGTGGACGTGCCGCGGACTGGTCGGCGACAAGTTGTCATGAGTTCCGACGACCGTCGGACGCGTTCATGTATGCGTCCGCGACAAGTCAAATGCGTACCTGGTTTCGACGATGTACGGTTTGTCACGTTCTTTAACGCTTGCGCATAACAGAGCATAACCCATTTCCAATTGTGCAGCCGGTCTGTTTGTATCTCTTATGGGTATCTTTACCATCAAGCGGGTCTGTCACGACGAGCTGAGTCTATATCTATGTGGCAAACTACTGGCACTATTTCTCTGAAAATTTGCATACAGCGTTTATCCGAGGTGCTCGTTTCAGCTAAAATATTTTCAGTGTTCTCCAACTTCCGGTTATACCGGAAATGGACCCCAACTTCGTTATTTTAAATGGAATGTACCAATTTTTATTGAGTTTTCGAGATCCCCACTAAATTTTAATATAATTTGATATAAGTCATCATATGTCTAGAGTGCACCATTTATGAATTATTTCAGTTTTTTCGAAAATTATGGCAGATGCAATCCTTCACAATAAAAGTAATTTTTCGAAATTATACTCGAGCCAAATATTCTCAGGGTTTGCACAGAGAGGACCCATAGTTTACATAACCCTTGAAAAGTTTTTTAAAAAATTTTACAGATTGGTCAGAAATTTTCCCCGAATTTGCCTATCTCGAAAAGTCGAAAACTTCATATTTTTAAATGGCAACCCTAATTTGGGGGTTGCTTTTCAAGCATTATGTAAGCTATGGGTCGTCTCTGTGCAAACTTTGGGAATATTTGTAATTTCGAAAAATTATTTTTATTGTGAACGGTTGTATCCGCCCAAATTTTCGAAATTTTCATAAATGGTGCACTCTAGACATATGATGACTTTATCACATTGTATTAAAATTTGGCGGGGATCTCCAAAATTCAATAAAAATTGTTAAAATAACAAAGTTGGGGTTCATTTCCGGTATAACCGCAAGTTGGAGAAATCTGAACAAAATTTTTTACATATAAGACTCAGTTCGTCGTGACAGACATTTGGATTTGGATTATTCTCTACTCTTTTACATGTTTCTGCTGTTTTGTTTAACACATTTTTAAGAACTTTTATTTCATATGTATGTTTTATGACAAGTTTCATACACAAATTAATCAAAAAAGTGTAAAAACATGCATATTTTTATTTAATTTTTCTAGTAAGGGTTATTACGGTTTTTTTACATTTCTAATAATGCTACTTTAATTCATTATTGTTAAAAAAATGAGTAAATGGATTTCGTTTGAATTGGCAAATTGTGATTGCAGCGCTAACTATCGGCAGGGTTGGATATAAAACGTACATAGAAATTTCAAACTGTTCCAACAGCGTTGACGAAATGTACGCGTACACGAACGTGTCCACGGACGAACATGCGCAGAAAAAAGTCCTGTACTAGTCGTGTATGCGTACACGACGAGTCAAATTTGTGCGGTTGGAACGAACCTATTAATGAAGTTATGGTCAACTTTCGGTTAGAAATGTCAACGTCAATTTTAACTTATTGGTAATTGTTGTGAAAAATCCTTTAAAATGAGCCCAAACATGATACGTTTAATTCCAATATTACTCGAGATATAAGCAACTTCCGTTTTGAAATGTCAATGTCATTTTGACAAATTCTTAATTTTTATAAAATGTCTTAAAATTTATCACAAAAACAAAAATACAATAAAAAGAATTAAAAATTAAGGTTGGTATTAATATTTAATAATTAAATTGCTATCTTCATTGTTGCTAAATATCCCAATCGGTTTATTAGAT